TCTGTTTATATCAGTCTTAAGATAATATTATACGTATATCTCATCAGAATCAGGGGTACCCACACCAATATTTTAAGGAAATATCCATGGGGAAATGTGTCATTAAAGTAAATCAAAACGTACAAAATATTAGAAATTTTAAATTTACGTTTTACAAATATTTTTATATAACGACACCTAAACGTAACGCATCGACATTTTTATGTTGAGAATAATGTTATACTATTCAATGCAAATCGTAGCCAAGCGAAAGCAATATTGAGAGAAGCTAGTTCCAATATTGTTGATATCATGGATAAAGTTATCTTGCGTATAGAGTGAAAACAGACGCAATGAACATTTCATGATTTCGGTGTAAAATTAGTTTGTACTGAATTTTGTCGTTGAGCAAAACAGTAAATAACCTAGAAATTTATTATACAATTCAAAATTACGTAAGGAATAAAAATAGTGCTATCAATAATAAATTAAAACCGCAACGAGCACATATTCTTAAGTAATTACAAATTATTAGGTATCCAAGACTATTTAAGAAATTAATAATTACATGTTACAGATTTTCACTTTCTAAAACGTTATTTGCTTTAGATATTTATTGATTATCTTACGGATGATATGCATACTCTTGTGGTTTGCTTGTTTGATGACATTCATTGATGGCATTTGACAAACAATATTATAACATTATTATTCTACACAATTATTATTTGGCTAAAATACATTATTACATTTCCTGTAGTAGCAAATCAAAGTACTCGTTGCATCTAATGTTATTTAAATCGGGATTCTCTTCGACGTGTTTAAGAAATTTTAAATTTGCAAGGATATTGTTTTTTTTTTTCTTTTTTTTTTACTCCATTACAAACTTGTTGGTGCTATTGTTCCCTTTAATCCCTAGATATACAAAACTGTATCTTTTAATTTATTATTTGGATCAGCAAAAATGAATAATATTTAACGATTTCTCTCTTCAATACCATTCATCAACTTATGAAAAGTAAACCTAGTTATATCATCCATGCAGCTTTAAAAATCCAATAAATCAAACTTAATTTGCCACATGCAAAAACAAGGAGCCAAAATATGTAAATGTTTACGAAAATCTGTTAAAAACAGCTCATGCTTGCTCCTGTCAATAGCAGCAACAATACACCAAATTAGTCTCGGTTATCGACTAAGGTGTTGACATCCTGGGTCGTTACAATCTGACCTCAAGGTCACACTCGGGGTCACAGTCAAGGTCAAGGTCACCTCGTTATTATGCTGAAGCTTCCATCACACTAAGGGCAATACTTCAATCACTTCGAGAGCGGAATGGCGCTATTTTTAATACTTTTACTTTTATCATCACCTGTTAAGTTTCCAGTTCGTTTGGGTGTACTCATCTTTAAAAGTTCATTTTTATGATGAAGCACCTTCCAAATATGTTGTTTGATTTTGTGAAACTTGATTTTAGATCTATGAAAAATAAATTGAAAGAATTTAAGTTTGCTAGTTTTAGAGATCCATGATATACCTTATAAATAAACCTATTATTCAACAGCTGATCAATACAACATTTCGTTTGATCAATTTAATGAGTTCGTAAATTTACAATTTGGGTGCCACAAGCCTAGTCGTTTTTAAGCTCGTATATTTTTAGGAAATCCCAAAAGACAACTGAAAAGTCTCTGGAAGAGCTTTCAATTTAACATAATATATTTTATGAAGTTTATGAAATATTAGTCAATTGTTAATTATCTATTTTTAATTAATTGAGGTAGGGACGCCATCTAGGTGCGCAAATACCCAAATATGAGTGAAAGATGAGTGTAGAATAAAGTGAGATTATAATTATAATCCTGCCCAATGCTTTTGCAAGTGCCTGCAACAAACCGCCTTAGAACTAGTAATTATAATTGTTTTGCACTTAGAATAATAAAGAATAATACTTTAAAACATTGTTTTGTACTTGTAAATCCATTATTTCATTGGACATTTCCGAAAAAATCGTCCAATGTTATATAATAAACATATAATTTGTATTTGATTTTTTTAATAATCTCAATTTATACATAAGAAATTTTCCAATTACAGTTCCCACAAAACCGTTTAAAAACAAACACCCATACTTAATCCTCATGTGAAAAGTCTATCAATTCACATGAAACAATGTATTGCATAAACAACATCGATAACAACTTTGAGTATACTTTCATGTAACGCAAACAAACATTACCCTAGGTAACACCAAAACAGTTGGGGATCGATTGACGCTTTCGGAAGTACGCTTCCCCGACTAAGCTAGTTTAGATAACGGTGATAAGGCACGCCTACCGACCTTGGCCTGCTACAATGCGATAGCTACAACATTGACATTGGCACTGCACGATAGATGTTTGTTTATGTTCATATTATACTAGATATAAATTTTTAATAGCAAAGGCAAGCCATATTCCGTAATATTGAAAGTGTGATTTTAGCATCATTCTGTGCTAAGGTAAAACATTATTTTTATACTTTAAATCAAACTGAATTTTAAGTCGTAATGGACATAGTTGATGAGAGCTACCGACAGATTGTGCTGTTTCAAATACTTAATTTTGTTACTCATTCATACTTTTAAACGAATTCAAAATGATAAGTTTACTTATTGTATGCTATAGCAGCTTTTATGTCATCTCAACTATCTCATAAAAAGGTACGAAATTTAGAGAATTTTATATGTACAAAATTTGATATTTAGTTTTATGTGTAATTCAATCTGTGACCAGATCACAGAACAATGTCTTTTAAATATAAATTGGTGAAAGCTGATTTTATAGATGGGATGTATACTTCAGTATCCGAAAATCAATGATAATAGTATGAATTACGTACGGAATATTATGTCATTCAAAATACATTTAAATTGACCTTAAAGTTATTGATACGCATTAAAAAATGGTATTTATGTATCTATATTATGTTCTATTGCTCTAGACAGATTTTTACCCACTAAGGCAATGTTATCATAAAGTAACAAACCAAAAAAAAAATAAATAAATATTGTGTTGCTTACATACTTTTTTTATATTACGATTTTGAATTTAATTCGTTGTATAGTTATAAGCATAAGGGAATTATTTTTTACTCAGTTATATTTTGCTTTAGGTATTTTCAAAACTTTTATATTTTAGTACAACATTTTTATAGAAAATCATCTTATTGTTTTGCACACACTATTTACAAACAGGTCAACTCGGTAGACATGATTTTGATAATTCAACCAAACCCTTTAAAAACTCTTCACATTATTAAGAGTAACTTTTTAAATTCATGAGACTTTTAAACCCATTAAACAGCTTAAACAAACCACACGTTTAACATCGCACATTTGCGTTTTGCACGATAATTTCTCTATCACCGTTGCCATAATCTTGTAAGTGACTTTGAATGTTTACAAAGCCATAAATATGTCGCCCAGCTGGTAACACGTGTGTGATTATGACGCTGATCGCGTATCACTTACAACAACCGACGATCACGCACTCTGTCCAGTGCTACCAACCTACGTGCTTTGCATAAAAACTTGAACGTTTACGCACTATATAAAGTGTTTTTCTGCTCTAGTTTCCAATACTCAGTGCCACCAACCTACGCGATTTGCAACAAAAATATCGTTGATTATCGCAACTGTTTACACACTATATATAGTGCTCTAGTTTCTAATACTCAGTGCCACCAACCTACGCGTTTAGAAGCAAAACTATCGTTGATTATCGCAACTGTTTAGACACTATATAAAGTGTTCTAGTTTCCAATACTCAGTGCCACCAACCTACACGTTTTACAACAAAAATATCGTCGATTATCGCAACTGTTTTGATACTATATAAAGTTTTTTTTTCTGCAATAGTTTCTAATACTCAATGCCACCAACCTACGCGTTCACCTTAAAAAAAATCTCGTTCGATTTCAAGTTCTTTCAAAACCATTAGTCATTGTGTTACCATATAATAATTCTATCCAAAAAAGGTCGATTAAGATAGTACTAAAACCAGGTTTGGGACAGTTTCCAAAAAATAAAAATAAAATATTTATTTATAAAATCACAATGGGGAAGAAACCCAAAACGATTGTGTAATTTAATAGTTTATAGCGTTTTAAATTCACTAAAATAAAAAAAAACCATGCAGATCACAATGTTTCTTAGTCTGACCAAAATAGACAAGGAAATTCCAACCCTAAGTGCTCTTTGAGCTCTGAACAGCTGTTCCATTGTTCCTGGGCTGTCGTCTGTAAACTGAACAATAACTGTGTTAAGTCCGACGATATGAGGGCTACTCTACATTGTGTCATAGATAACTGTAGACCTCTGTGAATGATAGCTTATTCATTGTGGCTAACACCTTCTTAATCTTTATTAATTTTATTTCATTGTTGATCAAAAATGTTTCTTAATTTACATATCGTAAGTGGGAACTATAATTATAAGTCTTAAAGCTATGCATGTTGTAGATTAGTGAACTATAAGGGAGTTTGTACATTTAAGAAAATTCTAAAAAATAGTGGTAGTATATATATTTAGTCTACATGACAAATGAAGTAAAATTGTAAATGTTGCTCCAAATAGTACGCCAAACTGATTTGCTAAGTATTAATAATTACATTTACATGTTTAGACCAGGTAAAAAGGCAAAAGACATTCTCAAGAATTAATTTTGATAGCTGTTCTAGTTTTTGCGCCAACGGCAGTGCATATTGCCAAACGTCATAGACAAATATATAATTCAGCAAACACAATTTATATTGTGAACACTTTTATAGGCTAACATATAAAACGAAAACGTAACTGAACCCTTAATGACTCCACCAGAGAGCACAGAATAGAAATTTCTATTCTGTGCTCTCTGGACTCCACGAAGTGTACAAACAAAACTGTATTTAATTTTTGTATGGACGTTGCTTTTTATCAAAATTTGTATTTTTAGTCTATAATTTGTGTAATTCTTGTAATTTATCGTTGTTATTTTTTCCAGATACAGTAATTTGGAGCTTGCTGACTAGCTTCCGGTATGTATAACAATTAATACACATCAGAAACTAAATAATATTTCTAAGGATTTTCCGTAGGTGAAATATTTTTCTGTTTCGTGTATGTTTTAAATAGATAATTTCTTTGGAGAAGTGATTTCAACCTGATTTTTAAATATAATTCATTTAAGATGATTCATCTTCAAAAGGATGTGAGCTGGTCTAGGTTAAGTGCATGGCCCTTGGTACCAGAGGTCCCGGGTTCAAATCCCACCAATTACAAATATTTTTTATCTAGATAGTGCAAAACCCATCTAGGTATATACTGAAGTAATGTGTAAAAATAATTCCAGGCCAAAAAACCTATTACAAATAAGATTGTTGAGTACCAGTCAGTAAAAATAATATATAATTAAGTTCCATTTGTGGTTGGTATGCTTGATGAAAATCAATGAACACGCCGTTTTAAATACGAACCACGTACCCAGTTTTATGCGTGTATGTGAACGATAACATTTTAAGACTTGGTTGTGACCTGCTTTTCGTTACGTTTACATTCGTCTTATACTGTTAATGTTTACAAAATTGCAAACATATAAATGGTGTTACAAAAAAAAAAAATAATAATTACCATATACGCCGGGCAAGACTCGACAAATATTTTTAATTGACCTTTTCCGCTTTAATGGGTTCAGAATGTCAAACTCAATATAAAACGTTTTTTACGTTTTTCAATTAAAACGTTTTTTTTACAAACATTTACTTTCCTAAAGACTTTCAAAGTAAAAGTGTGGATTTCGAAAACTCAGTTGGGAAGACGAATTCTATTTAAAAATACATTTCATTGTGCTATCACATGAAAAGAATATTTAATGACATACTAATCTTTGAATATACAGGTTAAGTCAGACAGGTAATATAATATTCTTTATTCACGTTTTAAACGTGTAACTTTGTAACAATATCCACGGCGCTAACGAATATAATTATTCAACGATTCTATTTATGTTTATCTATTTTTGTCGTCAAATTGAAACAGAGCCAACCCTGATGAAACACAATATCACAGCTGTTTGATTTTTATTTTCTTCTTTGAATATTCAAGTCAAGTGTTCAATGTTTGCATTTACCCTGATTCAAAGTATCTATGTTAGAATATTAGTTGCAACTGTGGGTCAATTATAAACTAAACATTTGGCAAGGACTGACAACAACCATACCGTTGTGTGGTCTTGGCCACGATACAAAAACGGATTATTTTAAGTCTTAAATATGACGAGAATTTACTTACAATTCTGAAATATGAAACGGAAATTTAGAGCTCAACAAGATTTATTAGAGAGATATGGAACATTGTTCTTTATTCTGGAAATATATCAAAACGTAGCTAGTTAAAGTGAACGCTTATGCTGGTTTAAAATAGGTACCTCACAAATTTTTCGAAAGGGGAAAATGAAAAAAACCTATTTAAATGGGGTTTTAATTTTTTTTTCTTCGGGGAAGTATATCTTTTGAGGTGTATATATTTTTGAGTATCCATAATATCCTTAACGTTCTTTTTTGTACATTTTCAGTTAACGGTCTAACTAAACTAAATAGAATAAAAGTACAGTATGATATATTCATAAAAAATGTTTGATGAGAATAATTGTTTTTGAAATAAATAAACTAGTAGCAAATTAGAAACCTCAGAAACATCAACTAATTGAATTATAGACTATATTGGTGTACATTCATGCAATAGTGAATGGTAATATATTTCTTCTTTATAATCAACTTAATGTGAAACCTCTCTTAGAATTCAATCAAAAGGAAAATATATTGGCCTAGTTTGCATTTATGAATATTATTAAAAGTTGAGGTAATACAATCAATGTATTGCATTTCTGAAACTAAACTATGTTTAAATTGCTGAAGACCCTTAATAAAGTCTCTATGTTGATGAAACATAATTTTTAATTTCTTTATAGTTAGACTCTGCATATCGTAATATTCCACTAATGGGATATTTGTTTGACAAGTGTAGAAAATAATGACCAAATAGCTTTAGGAAGTGAGCTAACCAATAGAGCATATTTTCCAATCATAAATGAACCACAGCCCTTAGTGTCTAGGTAAAATTATCCTAAAGCATGTCATAAACCTCATTTCACTTTTCAACTGTCGGATTTGAACCGAGAATTTCAATCTAGAATCACCGTGCTAATTGCTATGACCTACCTACTATGCTTTGCTATTACGGAATATATGACTTAAATATCAATATATGACTGTAAAGTATAGAGAATACGATTTGAATAACAAATCTAAAATAATAATAAATATTAATAAATATTGATAAACGAGAGACACATATAAAACATCAATTATAATCCGATTATGTCATGTGATTCATTATTGCAACTGTAACTTGTAAATTGTTATTGAATATAATTTAAACTCAACAAAACATGTTGCAGCAACACAAACTGACATAATATACAAGCCAACATTGTCCAATATGAAGGATCGTCCTACACTCATCTCCATTGCAATTTCAGAATAAAGTATTAAAGTATTTACGTTTTTATTGAATGAACCCAACTTATGTTTTGAGATTATTGATTATGATCAAGAATAAGTACATGATTATAACTATAGACAGAGACTATTATAACGCAGACTCCTATACTTGACTCTGATATCCATAGAGTATCAACATAATGTCAATCAAAGCTCTTTGACACTTGAGATCTAAGGCATGACAGTAGTAATTGTTGCTGAGTGCAATGTTCCATAAACGATAAATTAATTATAAGATTAAAATGTACTTTAGTAGGCACCAAAGATTGTCAAAGTAGTTACTTCAGGATGGCTATGTTTAAGCTTATGACAGCTAGTATTTAGCAGCATTGAAAAATTAAACGTATCATATCACACATGGATATGACATATGCTTGAAACATGTCCTGGATGAAATAACTACATTTGACTACTTCTGGCAACAACTTTAGTAGGATGTTCATCTTATAATTAAATTTCCAAAGTATCAAGTTTAAATTGAAAACTAGATTGTAATTAAGATGTCTTAAGGGTTGTCATTGGAGGTTTTTTTCCAAATATAAAGGTTTAAATTAGTACTTAGTTTAGGTTTACCATACTAAAACAGTACCATAGTACCATAGTAAGAGTATATTCCAAAATTCGTCAGCGGCTTAGTATTGTTTTCTAACTGTTTTATAGTTAGTTTAACTTAAAAATGAATTATATCTTTGCCAAAAATTACCTCTTTTTAAATCTTACTTTTTAGGAACTTATAATTCTTGTCGGATAAAGAATGCAATTGGTCTATGAGCAATACATTTAGGACTTTTAGGAAATGTTAAAAAAATATGTTTAGTTTTTCAAAGAGTTTTTAACGACAATTATTTAGTATCTTGCACTATAACAAAGCCTAAGAACTGCCTATTTATTAGTGATGTTTTACATACATAAAAAGTTAATATAAATTTAAAGCCTTCTCCCTGAACGGAAATTAGTATTAATATCAACAAAATATACTATTAAATGGTTTATTAATTGAAAGAATATCCATTATATCTATGATAAAAGGTACAATTGTACTATACAATATGTAGAATATTATGAGTTCTTAAAACAGATATTAAAGATAGTTTAAATTGTTTGATAAATTGGATACGTTTCAGAATACCACTGTTGTAGGCCATTTTATAAAAACACCAAATTATTTTTTTTATATTTTCAGTTACAACAATGACTTATTAGTCTACCTTTTGCATAAAAAATATTCGCAATGTTACTAAAATAATTTTGGATCAAAATCTAAGTTTATAACCAACAGTTAGTGACCAGAAATAGCTTGTTTCACAATCACTTTGAACATTCAATACGAATAATTACTGAATATTCAATATATCGATACATCGATAGCGGGGCTAAAGGTATTTCATGCATGATACGGGGTAGATTTCATTGATATTACTCGCTTATTCCAATAATCCATACTCGTGTTCTGTTTTCATCAGGAATTCCCCAAGTAATGCGCTTAGGTTTACCGTAATACTGCGATTATGATATATTGCTTTGCAATTTATGTTTCATATGATTATTATGGCTTACTTGTAATAGATTATTTCGGACTAATGTGATTCGATGTAGATTGAAACAGGTGTTTTCCCGTTGTTTTCGGCTGCACTTTACTTTAGGTCCTATACAAAAAACCGAATGAAAATATCGACTATTCGATTGTTTCATTCGATATATCGTTTGGTCAGTTAGGTTAGGTTAACCTTACCTTACTAACCAAATGATATATCGAATAATCGATATATCGATCGATATTTTCGTTCGAATGAGTGTAGGACCTAAAGTAAAGTGCAGCCTTGTTTTCTCGTCAGAAGATTTCCAAGGGCTATACTATTTTTAATATTTCCAAGTATTGAGTTTTTTTACATTATTTTATGTTGAAACTGGTGGAAGTTTAAGTTACCTTTTATTTTGGTTACCTTGTCATCTTCAAGTCCAACTAACACACTGATGTGCATTTAGCAACAAGGTAAATCTGCAGGGTTACAATATATATATTATATATATATAAATCTATATATAAATATATTAAATATATATATATGTATATAATAAATATATATACAATAAATCTAAATATTCTACGTTATTCTATTTAAGTTTATGGAACTTTATAAGTATATTGGACTTAAAAGACACAAGACAACTAACAAAATATAAAGTAACCTAATTACAAGTTTTTGAAATTTGTTTTAAGGTGTATACTCCATTTGATTGCAGTTGTATGTGCAATTTTACCTAATATATGTATTTCTGATAGTTCTCACTACTTGATGCACCTTATTTGAAATTATAAATGCACCATATTTATGTTTGTATGATAGTAAATGTAGTTTTGATAAATAAAATATGTTTTAAACACTCGTCAAAAGTATAATCACTATAATTATAAGTAACAATCCTGGTAGGGAAATATCTATTTATAGCATAACTCCAGGTATAACACCGGTGGA